CCCCCCCCCCCCCCGTGGCTTTTAGCCCAACTGTTTTTCCTTACTAGGGCATAACTCAGTCCAAGGTTTCCATTTTCAACTGGGGGAAGAGGATTAATACCTCCTCTTTTCTCCAGTATCATAGTCCCAGTCCTGGTCATCCCCCTCCTTGTAGTTGTTTTTCCACAGCTGAAACTCTGTCACATGCTATTTGGGTCTGTATATTTGTGTGGTTTGAGAAGGGATGATACATGGGGATTATCAGAAACTGCAGCACATAAATCAACTTCAGATGACCACAGCCCCAATTTAAATACTGCATGTGTCTGCAACACCTTTATTTCCCACTTTGATTTGCAACATCCCCCAGAGTTTTGGTGCCTTTGAAGGAGCAATTAAGTCTTCAAATGGAAGCTTTTTAAAATCAAGTCAGAAATCCAGACCTATGTTCTTTAAACCTGTACAGATTCTCCTTATGATTGGAAGGATTTGGATAGCTATGAGCAACTGTTGGAGTGTGTTAGTTTAAATACTGTTCAGTGTGTGGAGCTCATACAGGCATGCTGTGCTCTGAATACAAGTATTCCTACCTCAGGTGAAAGTCTAAAAAAAGTAACCTTCAGTCACTCCAGAGACATTGCAATTCAAGAATGTGCGCGCCACCTAGCGGCTTTCCAAAGGCAATTCACATTTAGTACGAAACACTCTCTGGTAACCATGGCAAACTGGAGCTCTAAAACCCCCCAAAAAGCACTGTAAAATAATGCAATCCAAGGCACTATACTGAAGTGCAAAAGAAGAAAGAATATTTATATAACACAAATGTGTATAAACAGCTACAATATAGTGTATACATATAACATACAACAACACAGAGTGTACAAAGGAAGCCGGCTTAAAGTAGGTTGATGTGAATTGTGGTAAGCATTTTGTCCTTTGATAACATCTGTTTATAACATGCTTTTAAATTTTACATAGATAATATGAGAGCAACTTTGTTGTTATAGGATATTTTTCCCTGCATAATAACCTGAAGGCTTCTGTACATTGAGCACATTGTGAGTTTATAAATTATACTTGATTACGTTGTAAATATTAGTATTAATTGCTGGGCTGATTATTATTATAGATATATGGTACAACTGAAGAAGTATCAACGAAACGAAGATTGGAATCCGGAGTCTTCATCCCATGTCCTTTGTGCCGGCTTCCTTTGTACACTGTGTTGTTGTATGTTATATGTATATATGGAATTTTGTATATTTCTATTTTCTTTCCTCCCCTCTTTTCCCCTTTCCCCTTTTCTTTATATAAACTAATAACATTCTTTTTAAAAAATAAACAAAACAAATGCTTATGCAG